GGCGGTGGCGGGGCGGGACGGGACGGGACGGCCGTGCGCTGTCGTTCGCCTCCCCGCGGCGCGCCCGCACCTTTCTGAGGGCTGGCTCCTCAGCCCTGCGGACAGCCCGCAGGGCTCTGCGCCAGCAGGCGTCCCCTCGCCTCCCCGCATCGGGGGCACAGCTAAGGCGGGAGGTGGTTCGTCTTCTTCCAGGTAGCTGAGTGAAAGCCTTGGCTGGTCTGGATGGCTGTGAAGAGCCGTAGAAACCCCGACTCCAGCTCTGCCCCGTAAGGAAAAGCTATCATAAGCGCTATATTCTCACAGTCTTGCCCTTCCTCCCCGAGGCTGTCCCGTTTCTTCGGGCTGGGAGCCCTGCAGGACAGAAGGCAGGGAGCTGTGGTGGAGGTACCAAGCTCTGGCAGGGCACCAGCCCAACAGCTGACCTCAGGAGCTCGGTGTAGCGAGCGTGCAGTCTCTGTGCTTTTGTTCTCTTTAATTTTGTTCACTTTAATTTTGCTTTCAAAGATCACTGTAATACCTGTTGTCCTTACAGGTGTGTATGACTGAAATGCTAGAGGCAAAACCAAATGAGAGGTTAGAAATATCATTAAAAATCCGAATCAGAGGCCAAAAAAATGTAAGAACATATGTACTGTAAAATCTTGTACAAAATTAGCAGCAAAACTCTTTTTCCATTAATTCTGATATAAATATTTATGAGCACTGTCTTCACAGAAATTTTAATTATTTCTCTCTCTACTTGGTTTCATCTTGGGGGTTTTTTGAGTAACTCATCTCAAAATTAAACTTTCAGATATCAGGTTTGTGACTTTTAGCATAGTTCCTCAATAAACATTACTAAAGTCAAGAAAAAGCGCTCATATTTGGTTTTGGTTTTAAATACGAATGAATATTGAGTGACTGGCTGCTGCTACATTTTTCCGAATGGCTTTTTTGTCTGGGGGGAGCTAAGCCAAGCCTAACCTCAAGTGACATAATGCTCTCTCCAGACCTGGACAGGTAAAAGATGACTTCCTCAAGTAATAGTTCAATTCTTCATAGTTATTTGGGGATGGAGACAGGGAGGTGGGTGAATATCACAGGTCAGCATACTCTGACATATGCAGTACTACCTCCCATTGTTGGTTTGAGTGGAATTCTTTGGTTTTAAACACCTTTAACTACCGTTAAGTCAAACCCCTCTGGGCCCGCCTGCACACATGCAACATAGGCCTCACCCCTGATTAATTCAAAAGCCTCAGAGAAAGACAGGGGAAGGCAGCACGAGCAATGCTTACAGGTCGGAGTTGCATTCCTGAGAGAATTACTGGAATAAGTGTCACTAAGGTAGTTTTTGCTGGATCCTACCATGGGATAACTCTATATTCTGAGATTTTATGTGTCTCTCTTAGGATCTTCTGCTGGCTTATAATGTAACATCAGCCTGTTTATAAATTCATACTTTTTGCTTATTGCCAGACTATTTCTAATTATCTTGCTGACTTCGTCACTTTTCAGGGAAGGTATTTATTGCTGCATGTCTGTTTTATCCCTCAGCACATCAAAACCAGGCCCACGGCATTTTTACCTGTCCAACCTCGTATTCTGCACACTTCACATCTTTAGTAAATTCTGTTTCTAATTAAAGGAACGGAGTTGCCTTGGTTAGGGCCACAGTTTTCAACTTGAAAAACACGAGTGTTAACAGCTCACAGTATGTTTTTAGTGACACCCGGTGGCAAAAACGAAGGAACGGCGTGTTACAGATTTCCAAGAGTTAAGTGCCAAAGCAGAAACAAATGGTCCACATTTTGTTTGTTTTTTATTAACATCAGAAGTCCCACGAGATGCATTCCACTTCTTCTGACCAGTGTTACAGTGCCCAGGTTCACGTTTGCACCCTGCCAACTGCCTCAAAAGCTGATCTTCCAATACTTGGAACGCTAAATCAACACATTTGTACGGACAAATTCCACATGCTTTTTACCCTATGCATTACAGAATAGTTCACCCCAGTGAAAAGTCATCACCAGTCTAGTTTAGCAACAAGTTATGCCCATTTCAAACTGCTTAAAATAATTACCAGCCTTCTTCTGTTTTGTTTTGTTTTGTTTTGGTTTTTTAATGTAATAATACAGCCTGCCAAGTGCTGGGGCACACATCACGTCAGGCTCCTTGTAGAGTCTGTTTCTCCCACTAATCGCCACCAGCACACACGTGGTGATGGTTCATTAATTTTTTTCTCACCCTACTACACCCACACATTTCTTTTAAGAGTTTGGTAAGGAACTGCCATGTTCTTAATGATCCAGTTCTTCAGCAG